TATTTAAGCCGAGAAGCTATTTTATGTTGTTTGAGCACTGGTTATTATGTGCATTAAGTTGCTATTTTTCATTATGACTTTTTTTCTCTAAAGAAGACGATTCAGATCTAATGATAATTAAAATTGTTTCTTCCAAAATCGACAGATATCAACGAATGCAGTCCATCAGGCCTATCAGCCAATCACAGTCATTACGCCCATAACTGTCACAATGATGCTAACTGTACCAACACCAAGGGATCGTTCTACTGTACCTGTCATACGGGATARTCGGGGAATGGAGTCACATGTGTTGGTATGTAGCGTTTTAATGAATGMTTTTTGTGAATGATTAATGTATAAAGTTAAGTGAACAAAAACTGCAATACTTTGAAYTGTTTTTATGCTTGAGTTATAGTTAGGCAGTTCCACCTTATTAATGGTCACAATGTTCAACGATTATTCCATTGCGCTATCTCGTATTATTTATCGAACATGTATTTGCTAAATGTATGACAGTGGATGGTCTGAATTCAGGTCTAAGCAATGTAGGTGTGATTTGATTGGCGGGGGTGAGAAGTCTTGAGGAAGACCGTTATAGTTATCTATAGTTTGATAATTGTTTTTAAAGAAACTATTTGTCATTACATTGATCGGGTATGGCGCTTGCAAAGGTATTTTAGTTTGTTTGRTAGTATAAACTTAACTTGTGCACGATTATATACATTGATATGTCAATTCAGATGTACTTTTATAGATGGTATAGAGGGGGTTTATGTTTATGTCAAACTAAGGTAACACTTAAACCGTATCTAGCCACTAATATTCAATTACAAACATTTCAGTATTTATAGATCTAACTGCTGGGATATATTGTTGTGTATCAGTATGGCTTAAATGATACTTGATTTTATACTGTGCAAATATTATAAACATGTAATAGTTTTAAAAATTAACTAGCACCAAAATAATATGCCTTATTTTGCTTCTTAATAAGTGCTATTTTGTACTAGTTATATTATGCTATTTCATGATTATAATACCTGGACTGTATATAGTGGTTTTAACGATTTTAATGTTCAATGTTGCATCTTTTAGCGAGACATCAGTTTTCTACCTTTCATCATATTGAAATTCGTGAAGCAGATGACTGGAAAGTATCAACGATTGAACATTAAAATCGTTCAAATAAACTCATAGTATCATTGAAATCATGGCGATAGAACAATTTATTTCTTATTATGGCGAATATCAGAACAGTTGGGCTGAGACCGCAAATGACTGACTGCAAATGTTACGCTGTTGATTACGATCAATGTTACTATTGAAAAAAACCCTCAGATATTCGATCATTTGTAGTATTACTTTGTTTTGAAATATCTAGCTTATATCTCATTTTCCCCAACTAATCTTTGCGGTCTCACATCAACTTTCGCAAGTATCTGACAGCTATCTCAATTTAAAAAGAGCTACAGCAAATCGATGTACGTATGACAAACTATTTTTCCATTTGTCTGTGTTGAATAGATATCAATGAATGCTTTCCATCGACGATTTCAAATCGCTACAAGCACCTTGCTCACAACTGCCACAATGATGCTAACTGTACCAACACCAAGGGGTCGTTTTACTGTACCTGTCATACGGGATACTCTGGGAATGGAGTCACGTGTCTAGGTAAGAAAACATTTACAAGATTATTCTTCAATGCAGTAAAAATGAACAAAGACCTCAGTGTTTTGTATTTATTATTATTTTTCCTCAAATTAGACATCAATGAATGTAATCCATCAGCGCTGTGGGCCAATCACAGTCACTACGCTCACAACTGCCACAATGATGCTAACTGTACCAACACCAAGGGATCGTTCTACTGTACCTGTCACACGGGGTACTCAGGAAATGGAGTCACGTGTGTTGGTAAGCTATCCCCGAGCACACTCCAGCTATAACTGAATTTTTTTTTTTTCAATTTGTAATGATTTTTATTTCAGATATCAATGAATGTAATTCAAACGCTCTGGCCTCACACCACAYRCARTARGCTCATAACTGTCARAATGATGCTAACTGTACCAACACCAAGGGATCGTTRTARTGTACCTGTCATACGGGYTACTCYGGAAATGGAGTCACGTGTTTGGGTGAGAGCTCGATCTTTTGTGTATGCCTTGTTTGGCTTGTTTTCACTAATCATGTGTACCCAATGAATATTTCCAATGATATTATTATTCCTATTATTTATATATCATTTTTCATAGACATTAATGAATGTAACACCAAAGGACTCGCTMCCCATCARAGTCACTACGCRCATAACTGTCACYCCGATGCTAACTGTACCAACACCAAGGGATCGTTCTACTGTACRTGTCATACGGGATACTCAGGAAATGGAGTCACGTGCGTAGGTAAGTAATGGACAAGATTGAATAATTCTATATGAAATGATATTCAGTGTTTGTATCGTTTGTATTTTACAGATATAGTCGAATGTAATTCCACGGCACTTGCTTTATATCACAGTCACTACGCACATAACTGTCACAATGATGCTAACTGTACCAACACCAAGGGATCGTTCTACTGTACCTGTCATACGGGATACTCAGGGAATGGTGTCTTGTGCTTAGGTAAGTACAATAATTCTCGAGCGACAGCAAAATCATGTCCAAACTGCATTTTTTGATTAGTTGGTTATCCGATCTTCTTGTATGATTACCGATATAGAAATTTTAGCACTGAGCCTATTTCTCTTATTGTGTTGTTATCGTTATTATTATACAATAAAACCATAGATATGTGTGCCCATTAATCCCCTGAGTGTCTGTCTTATAGATATCGATGAATGCCAGACTACTGCACTAGCAATATACCACAAGCACTACGCTCACAACTGCCACGCTGATTCCAACTGCTCCAACACCAAGGGATCGTTCTACTGTACCTGTCATACGGGATACTCCGGGAATGGAGTCACTTGCGTTGGTAAGAATGTTTTAGAATACTTCTCAGAAGTATATATAGTTTCAAGTGAGTGCAAGTACGTTACATCTAGGGTAGTTCTTACCACACKCAGGCCACGCCAATTGCTGTACTTTGAGTTACAGAATGATTAAAGTCTACTCAACAACCTTTACTGGCAATTACAAGGTTATAATGAAATGCTTTGGTTTTAAGTTAAATTCCAAGGCAATAAAAGAGTAGCAAGCCCTGATCACTTCTCTACAGTGGGTAAAATACCTTTTTTTCAATTATTACAAATATAGATATCAATGAATGCCAGACGACGGCTCTTGCAGTGTTCCACAAGTACTACGCCCATAACTGCCATAGCGATGCCAACTGTACCAACACCAAGGGATCTTTCTACTGTACTTGCTATATAGGATACTCAGGGAATGGTGTGTTGTGTGTGGGTAAGTATGGTGTGAGGTAAGAGATCATATACACTGTACTCTTGTATAAGTCTGTAATCATTACTAACCTCTAACTCCTTGACCTACATGAAAGTAACTTCTGATCCACTGATTCAAACCATTAGTTCATTGTAACGTTCTTGAATGTTAAACTAAAACATGGCGAATATCACYAATGTTATATGCACTCATCAAAGAACGAATCACAAGTATACAATTGAAATCGTTCACTAGGGAATTTACTTTGATTTTRTGACAACGAATCAGTTTTAGTGGAAAATGTTTTGCGCACCTTGCTTTGTGATTCTTTCTTTTAGGGTAAAAAAGCGGTTTGTCATATTTTWAAGTCATTTTATTATTTTGCTGATAGATATCAATGAATGTAATCCATCCTCACTCTCGGCCAGTCTCAGTCACTACGCACATAACTGTCACAATGATGCTAACTGTACCAACACCAAGGGATCGTTCTACTGCACCTGCCATACGGGATACTCAGGGAATGGAGTCACGTGTGTTGGTAAACCAAATCTCTTATCTATGAAGATTAATTCGACATTTGTTATTGTGTTTTGTCTGTTGGCCAGGAAAATGAAACCTGACAGTAATTTTTTAACCTAAGGGACGAGTAAAGATTTAGACAAATAGCTAGTCATTGAAATCTAGTTTGGAAACTGAAACTTACGTGTAACCAGCGTGTTTTTAAATTCTTTTTGTATATATATTATTTTTAGAAGCAAAATATTTTTCTTTCTAGATATCAACGAATGTCATTCGAACGCTCTGTCAGTGAACCACAGTCATTACGCTCACAACTGCCATAACGATGCCAACTGTACCAACACCAAGGGATCGTTCTACTGTACCTGTCATACGGGATACTCAGGAAATGGAGTGGCATGTGTTGGTAAGAGTTTAGCAACTTCATGTTTCGTTCAGGTTTGTGGGTGTATTATTAATAATAATACCCATTATGTATTTATTTTCAGATATTAATGAATGTTTCCCTTCCCAAATTTCCAATCGTTACAAGCACCTTGCGCATAACTGTCATCTTGATGCTAACTGTACCAACACCAAGGGATCGTTTTACTGTACCTGTCATACGGGATACTCTGGGAATGGAGTCACGTGTATAGGTAAGTTAAAGCTAAATAACGTCTTTTATGAATTCCTTGCCATAGATATTCCTAAACAGTAAAGCCCCGTTTACACGAGCAATTTTTCCTTGACAAGTTTCTTGACAAGGAAAAATTGCCCGTGTAAATGGTCAACAAGTTTTCCTCGACAATTCTTCCTTGACAATGTTTCTTTGCTAGTGTAAACGAAGAACAAGTTTTCCTTGACAAGGAAAAATTGCCCGTGTGAATGGTCAACAAGTTTTCCTTTACAAGTTTTCCTTGCCACATTTTCCTTGTTGTCCATTTACACGAGCAAATTTCGTCCTTGACAATTTTTCCTTGCTCGTGTAAACGCCGCTTAATTTTCAACATGTAATCTGAAATGAATTTTAGATATCAACGAATGTTATCCGAACGCTCTGTCAGTAAACCACAACGTATTATGATTCTATGATTGCAGATATCAACGAGTGCCACACAAATGCACTGGCATCTCATCACAGTCACTACGCACATAACTGTCATAATGATGCTAACTGTACCAACACCAAGGGATCGTTCTACTGTACCTGTCATACGGGATACTCTGGGAATGGAGTCACGTGCTTGGGTAAGGTCTACATTAATTTTAAGAACGTTGTATCACAGGTATTCGCATTTTCATTATTTACTGTCTTTGCAGATATCAACGAATGTCACACAAGTGCGCTTGCTTCGCATCACAGTCATTACGCACATAACTGTCACAATGATGCCAACTGTACCAACACCAAGGGATCGTTCTACTGTACCTGTCATACGGGGTACTCAGGAAATGGTGTTGCTTGTACAGGTTTGTATACTGATGCAAAAAAAACTGTTGTAATTTTTCACGCACATTTTGTGAATTATTAAGTGTATCATTAACATTTTGGGTTTTTTTTCTATGGATTCCATGCTCATTATTTATTTGATATTCTCATTAGATATAGACGAATGTTTTCCAAATGCAATCTCTGATCGCTACAAACATCTTGCACATAACTGTCACAATGATGCCAACTGTACCAACACCAAGGGATCGTTCTACTGTACCTGTCATACGGGATACTCGGGGAATGGAGTCGCGTGTGTTGGTAAGAAAAAATAATTACATCATTTATTGTGACAAACACTTCAGCAGTTGACAACATTTTATTTTCAAAGATATCAATGAGTGCTTTCCAAGCACAATTTCTACTCGCTACAAGCATCTTGCACACAACTGCCATGCCGACTCAAACTGCACCAACACCAAGGGATCATTTTACTGTACCTGTCATACGGGATATTCAGGAAATGGAGTCATGTGTGTGGGTAAGTAGGGTCAGCGGTAAGCATACTAGTCCTTACTGTAGTAATGTTGGACGTTGACTCAAATACTCCTGATCCAACCCCTATTCGACTGCATGACTCAATATAATGCTGTAATAACATTAATAGTGAGCTCACCTTTCTTCGGCGAAATCTTCGTTACCATTTTGTTGTAGATATAAATGAATGTAACACAACAGCACTTGCAATTCGTCACGACAATTACGCTCACAACTGTCACGCTGACTCAAACTGTACCAACACCAAGGGATCGTTCTTCTGTACATGTCATACGGGATATTCAGGAAATGGAGTCACGTGTGTAGGTAAGTGTAATTAAGCATGCACAACTCTCTGTATAYGAAATAAAGTATCAGGAAAACATGTATGAATGCAATGAAAYCTATCAGTTTTGTTAAGAAGAGCATTACAGTTATCTGACCTGTAAGGGATTACCCTCAATGTCAGAAGGAACGAACTTGTAGAGATGGCCTCTTACAGGAACAACATAGACCCCAAACAAYTCTTTCAGGGACATATTTTAACTAACACGAAACKCACCATTCAAAAGATTGAACTCGTTCAATYAAAACTCTGAACGTCTCAGAGTGCGACAACATWARCTATAATGGAACTTGAAATACAGTATATATTACTCGTGCTTTAATGTTCAGCGGCAAGAAATCGTGTAATATTTTTGTTTGGTCGCTAACAGAAGAGGGAAAACAATGACAATTTCGAAGTATTTAGCACCAAAATTTAGCTGCGGTCYCTTAGGAGGGAGGTCGATTACGAACGGAGTTTTCTTTAAAACAGCGTATATGTGAAACAAACCGCTAAAGGAAGATTGTCGCCTAAGAGAGTGGTCGGTCAAAGAGAGTCAACTGTATAGGCATATTAATCAATTAGTCGGTATTCCCTATTGTTTCTGTTTTATCAAGAATTCCTTATGATTGTGTCATAGATATCAACGAGTGCCAGACGACGGCCCTTGCTGTCTATCATAAACATTACGCCCACAACTGCCACGTTGATGCCAACTGTACCAACACCAAGGGATCGTTCTACTGTACCTGTCATACGGGTTACTCAGGAAATGGTGTAGGATGCATTGGTAAGTTTGGTATAGAGAGTGTATAAATTAAACGTTTCTTTAGCGAAGAGATACATAAATCCAACTAGATCCAACATTGCAGATTTTACTCTCTAAGTAATTCTGTAGTTGTAAGTGTTTAGGGAACTTTAACCAACGGGTTGAATATAACGACAATGATAAATACCTACTAATTTTACAAACATGAGCGCTCTTGGCGAGTTAGAGCCGTTGGTGATGAAGACTTCAAGGGCAAGATTCTTGTCCGTTATTAGTTCAAACATGTTTTTTTTAATTGATACTGGGCACCACAGAGATGTAAAGGATCGCTTCTTGATAATGCTTAATAATTATCGTTATTGCATTTTTTAGATATTGATGAATGTTTCCCTAACCAAATTTCTGAACGCTACAAGCACCTTGCGCACAACTGCCATGCTYACTCAAACTGCACCAACACCAAGGGATCATTCTTCTGTACGTGTCATACGGGATATTCAGGAAATGGAGTCACGTGTTTGGGTAAGTAAACTTTTATTGCTAATATTGATTATACATTTAGCTGATTAATGTTTTTCAATGCTTTTTTAAAGATATCAACGAATGCCACTCAAATGCGCTGGCCTCACACCACAGTCACTACGCTCATAACTGCCATAACGATGCTAACTGTACCAACACCAAGGGATCGTTCTACTGTACTTGTCATACGGGGTATTCAGGCAATGGAGTCATATGTGTTGGTGAGTAAATCGTTTAATTTCGAAGTAGTGAGTCAATATGATAATAATTCAAGACATTTCATTGTACACTTTTCACTAGATATCAACGAGTGCCATACAACAGCATTGGCTTCACTTCACAGTCACTACGCCCATAACTGCCATAATGATGCTAACTGTACCAACACCAAGGGATCGTTCTACTGTACCTGTCATACGGGGTACTCCGGGAATGGAGTCACGTGTGTTGGTATGTAAAATGTAGTAGTTAAGGTACAGTTACAATTCATTGCAAATGGATACTTTTAACTCGTAAATGGTGTTTTTTCATAGATATCAATGAGTGTTTCCCAAACACTATCTCTGATCGCTACAAACATCTTGCACACAACTGTCACYKRGARGCTAACTGTACCAACACCAAGGGATCGTTCTACTGRACCTGTCATACGGGATACTCAGGAAATGGGGTAGGGTGCGTTGGTAAGTTTTGTGTAAAACTWATTTTTTTTTTAGTTTYTTTATTGTTATGTTTTAATCATTCTAGTGATTTCAAGGTACGTCCTTGTTTATATATCTTTATGAAATATCAACGCGTTTTCTAAGCAGTAATGAGCTATGTTTACTTCACAATATCCAACAGATATCAACGAATGTCATACAAATGCGTTAGCCTCTCATCACAGTCACTACGCCCACAACTGTCACAATGATGCRAACTGTACCAACACCAAGGGATCGTTCTACTGTACCTGTCACACGGGGTACTCAGGAAATGGAGTCACGTGTGTGGGTATGTATTAATTGCTGTAGCTTTGGTAAGGTGTGGGGAACTGTTTGCTAATGCTCCTGATCCATTAACATAAACCTTAAAACTAATKAGARGCATTCACTGTAAAGTGCCGGTTAAATCAACCAAAGATAATTGGTGATCTTAAAGATCTCAAATTTATTTGGTTGTTTTAGCCAGGTGCTTTTGTCAGTGTTTAATGCTATTTGTTTCAGTTATTATTTGTTGTTCACCTTATTACACGATACATATGTGTATATAGATTTGGACGAGTGCACACCAGAGCGATTAGCCTCTAATCATCTGCACTATCACCATAACTGTCACGCTGACTCGAACTGTACCAACACCAAGGGATCTTTCTACTGCACCTGTCATACGGGGTACTCTGGAAATGGAGTCACGTGTGTTGGTAAGTAATTTCTGAAGAGAACGCGTTTTTTTAATGGGTTGCTTGTAGCTTAACTTTACTGGGTTTGCGACAACTTGCCGCCACGGTTCCTACCAGTTTAAAGCAGAAGGACTAATCGGCTGAATTYCTTTGCTTTCGGAAGTAAACCACTCAGTACATGAAAGGTCCTTTTTCGTAATATATTTAATTTTTATTATTATTATAAAAAGTTACATTTTGCTTTCTCAGGTATCACTAACTTGTTATAGCGAGTAGATTTGGTTATATTRCAGCAATGTTGAAAGGAGTGGCAGTGCATTTTCTCAACCTCGTAGCTCTATTTTGCTTTTTGTTTTGTACAATTTATAATTAGTACTTGTTTTCATGTTTTCTTCAACAGAAGTAGTACAACAATGTTTGCTTATTTTTATATTTTAGATATCAACGAGTGRCATTCAACAGCATTAGCATCAATCCACCAACACTATGCACACAACTGCCATGTTGACGCTAACTGTACCAACACCAAGGGYTCGTTCTACTGTACRTGTCATACGGGATATTCAGGAAATGGAGTCACATGTATAAGTAAGTTCTATGTAAGCTCGATTTTAGTGACGCTTAGGATATTTAAATTACAATCATATACTTTTTCTTCATTAGATATCAACGAATGTGATACAAAGACTTTAGCTGTACATCACAGTCACTACGCCCATAACTGCCATGTTGATGCTAATTGCACTGATACTAAAGGCTCGTTCTACTGRACCTGTCATACGGGGTACTCAGGAAATGGAGTCACGTGTGTTGGTGAGTTTTATCGTTTCATTATCTTTAAGCAACGACTTAACTTAAGTAGTATTTTACGTAGGATTTAAGAAGATTTGATATTTCATGGTTTTACAATCATACAGTCAAAAGCGTGAAATGATTTTATGATTGCAGATATCAACGAGTGCCACTCAAATGCACTGGCTTCACATCACACTCACTACGCCCATAACTGTCATTCTGATGCTAACTGTACCAACACCAAGGGATCGTTCTACTGTACCTGTCATACGGGGTACTCGGGGAATGGGGTCACGTGTGTTGGTAGGTGTGATAATTGAGTCACGTTTGCTTGCAAGAATATCTCCTTAACAAATAACATATCTCTGATTAGTTTCTGCTTATAAATGAATGATTGTTTGCCTTCGGTATTTGTTTTAAGTTATTAAGAGAGTCTTGGTAATTTTTGTCAATTCAAATGTTTTTCTTTTGGTCACAGATATCAATGAATGTCAACCAAACGCCTTATCTGTAAARCACAGTCACTACGCCCATAACTGTCAKAATGATGCTAACTGTACCAACACCAAGGGATCGTTCTACTGTACCTGTCATACGGGATACTCGGGGAATGGAGTCACGTGTACAAGTAAGTCTGATTTTTGACTCTCAGCTTATAACACGCAATGTCATTCAGTGACGACATGATTGCAATGATTTACGTCTCTTCCATTAGATATCAACGAATGTGAGACAAAGACTTTAGCTGTACATCACAGTCACTACGCCCATAACTGCCATGTTGATGCCAACTGTACTGATACTAAAGGCTCGTTCTACTGTACCTGTCATACGGGGTACTCAGGAAATGGAGTCGCGTGTGTTGGTGAGCTAAGATATGCCAGATGATCCAGTTTTTTATCATTTCTCTTTCTTTTTGCCGGATTTTCTTTACTAAATTATTGGTTGTAAATTGTTAATTCCTTTAGATATAAATGAATGTCGCCCCGATGCTATATCTGAAAGATAT